AATATTCTGCCTTGTTTTCTAAGCTCTTATTCTCAATTCAATAAGTCTTTGAAGGTGCGAAATATAGTAAGGCTCTTAATACAGAATACAAATTAATCATATCAATCATTGTGCTCCCTTTGTAACTGGCACAGTCATCGTTCCTCTTAGAATACAAAGCTAGGTCCTCACTCCCCAGCAAAGCAATACCCCTGCATCTCACTGACTCCGCCCATCGCATGCCTGTCACCATGACAGAGCCCAGCACTGGGCCAGTACAGACATAGGGGAAGAGTGACTGTATTGACAACAGAAAAAGTCTGGCAATTAACCTATTTTCTTGTTCATAAGGCACATGAGAATACCGTGTGCCATAGTATGTGGTAGTCAGGAACTTGGGTTCTAAGGTTAGACCAACAGTGTAGAACCTCAATTCAAACGCCAACCAATCTCATAGCTTCTCTGTTCCCCCATGACCTGGTCCACATGATGAGGGAATGGAAATACCTACCCAGCCAACAACACCCGAATCCCGTGCCATTATTTTCATTATCAGATAGTCAGCTCTCATTACTTTGGAAAAGAATAGAAGCCACGCCCAAACTCATAATTCTGCCAATCACTGCTAAAGCTGTTTGTGGGGCGGAACGGTTGCAGTAAGGAGCTTGGATCTAGTGGGAAGAGGCACTAGCACTCTGCTCCAAACGACTTCCTACAATAGAGCCCTGCTCTGTTCAGCAAGACAGCCATGCACAGAAGGATAAAAGAGATGCAAGAAAATGTACACCTGCCAACGTGTACTGCCCAATGCCACACTGCGCACGAGCGCTGTTCTAACAGCACGCTCTGTTCCAATGCACTGCGCACGAGCGCTGTTCTAACAGCACACCCTGTTCTAATGCACTGCCCAGCAGCCCGGAGTCTGAGATCTCAGGGTTGAATTTGACAGGAGCTGTCTAGTATTTCTCCTCTACTTCCTTTTTCTCCAGCAAAATGGGAAGCTATCAAAGAGCCAAGGGGATAAAAAAAATCTTTCTAATGTCTTTGGAAATTCTTTGAAGGGAGTTAGAGAACAGACAATATCGATGTCATAGCGACAGCAACAGAATCCTCTACCAAACCATAGACGTGAAGCCCTCCCTTCTCAGTGCCAGTTTAAGGGGTTTCACTGCTAAAGAATTAATTTCCGGAGAGGGTCACAAGTGTTAATGTAAAATGAAAGTGGTTGACACAGGAAGAGTTGTCAAGATAAGTAATTTCAGTTGAGGAAGAGATATTGTTATGATTTAAATATGAAATGTCCCCTCAAGAGGTTCAAGTGTTAAAGGTTTGGTCACTAGGTGATAGCTGTTCGAAAGGTGAATAGTCATGAGGGCTTGAAACCTCATCAATGGATTAGTCCATTGACAAATTCATAGTTGGATGGATGATTTGGAGGCAGGGCTTGCTTGGAAGAAGTAGTCATAGGGTCATGTCCCTGAAGGTTTATCTTATTGTATCCTTTGTTGTCTTTCTGCCTCCTGTCTACCACGAAGTGATACACTGTTCCCCACCGAGCTGCATGCCATGTTCATCACACACAACCTCAGAAGCAATGGAGGGCAAGCGAGCCTGACTTTTTCAAGATTTCAACCCTTGAAAAAGTGAGACAAAATAAAAATAAATCCTTCGTTAAGATGGTTCAGGATATTTCATCACAGCAACAAAAGAAAATCCAACTCTGACATTTTATGCAAACCATGAATTAACACTAAGTTCCTGAACCATATTATTCTCAGGATCTTCACAATTATCTACCTTATCTATATTCTCTTTTGAATGCCTACACGTGGATTTATATATTTGTTTGTTCATTTATCCTTATGCGAAATTTGCCCTGAAAATATTTTGTTGATTATAAAGCAGTTATTAGTATGAAAAAAGGTCAGGCATTCAAAAAAATCACCAAAATTGCGGGAGCTTTAGGGAAGGGCCATTGCATCTTCCAAACCTCTCAGGAAGTTAAGATTTTCCTGACTTACTTTCTTTGAAGTTTCCAAAACACAGGACTCATTTGAAATGTGCATTGCTGCTTAGTGACTTACACTATGCAGAAGACAGGCTGTTTAATAGAGGGCTAAAGCCAAAGGAACTTTTGTCTGTCTGTCTGTCTGTTACTTATTTTGTTCCACAGGTACCCTAGTAAAGTGGTGAAAACTAAAAATAAATTCATTTCAGACAATGTAATGGAGAAAGTTTTGAAATGTGAAATTTGCTGCTGTCTGTGGGGAAAACACCTCTTTGGGTATGGTCTTGACAGACTGAGTTATTTGTGTCTATTGGGTACGTATGAAGACATATTTATGGCTTTATAAATCTTTTGAAGAGGGCCGTTATTTATCCAGTTGACTAAAATGGACTCAAAGTATGTAAATAACTATTTAGGATACGTACTATGCACCAAATGCTGGCACAGCTTTTACTCCCATGCCTGCCAGAAGAGGCAGACAGGGAAAGCATACAACGCCACTGCACACAGTTAATCTGGAGGCTGTAGCACACAGTTAATCTGGAGGCTGTACAAAGGCCCAGCTCCACGGGTCTTGGGATGAGGAAACAGGTTTAGAAGGGTCCAGGTTAGCATGGAAATGCCCACAAGTTGTTTGAGCAACACTTTCAGACCTCATCCTGCGTTTGGCAGAAATAACATTGTGTGCCAAAGAAAATCCACCAGGAAAGCAAAGAAGACTAGAGCTATCCATCCTTTTCTTGCTGTTTACAAGTTAGAGTGGAAGGGACTTGGTAATTGACTAGGTTCTTTGGTGGGCAGGTGAGGAAGATGCTGGAAACTTGTAGCAGGTGGGTCTGCATTGCCTGGGGACATCAGCATATCCCAAACCTTACCTAGCATATATTGATTTCCTCTGCTCTGTCTGCTACCAGGGTTGTTCCTATTCATTTTTTGAAATTTTTAAATATATTGTTACATATACATTTGTGTACGTGCCCATCTGTATGTGCACCTCATGTGTACAGTACTCAAGGAGGCCGGAAGAGGGTGTCAGGTTCCTGGAACTGGAGATACAGAGGTCATGGAGCTGTCTAACACAGGTGCTAGGAATGGAACCCAGGTCCTCTGCCAGAGCATCAGTGTCCTTAACCACTGGAGCCGTCTCTCCAAACCTGGGATTGTTTACAAATGATTCAACCAAGATCATGCACATGAGATCATTTATACGAAAATGCCCTTTCAAGCCCACAGGTGGTGGCCTGTAAGTGTAAGAGGTATAAAGATAAACAGCAGGAGTGAAAAGCTGGTCCCACGCAGGGCACGTGGCTCCTAGAAATAACCAGGTCATCCTCAACTAAGCTCCCAGAGATCACTGATCCACTGAAAGAAACACACAGACTCCTAATTTCTGGTCACAGCTATAGGGGGAGGACCTAGCACTGGATCTTTGCTCTCCAAAAATCCTCTCTTCTGATCATGTTTAGAAGCTTGGGCATTGCATCTCTAAGCTCTATACTTCCTCAGCTAAATGACCCTCTGATTCTTGGATTGAATATGTTCTTCAAAGCAAGGAACGAAAGCAAAAATGAAACAAACAAAACTCTAGGCTGTGACCCCATGTAGCTATAGGAAAAAGAATTTAGATTGCATTTACACCTGGAAAACTCATAGTGTAAGTAGAATTCTTCAAGCCAGGCCTCCCATGGAAAGTGCTGACGCCACCCTCACACTCGGAACACTGAACCCATAACACATACACACACACACACTTGAAAGAAAAAAATGCCTCTTGGATTTCTGCTGCATATCATTTTCCAGTAAAAGTCAGAGGTCAGAGGTTACCTGCCTCTGCCTCAGCTCTGGACTGGTTTACTATTGCAGGCTCCATTTTTACTAGGCTTCTACTTCTGATGAAGTCAGCAACTTTTTTTTGAACAATAAAATGTCTAAATGTCTCCAATGCTTAAAATTACATCTGCAGAAGATATTTCTGGGGAAAATACCACACATATGCCTAAAAAAATGCTCTCCTGCTCCTGTTTTCCAATCAATCATGCTAAATCCATTATAGACTTTGTAGTTCTAATTGATGTGTCCCAGTGAAGTTAGACAACCAAATTCCTTTCTTGATGAATAATACTCCATTAAAAATGATCACAAAATCAAATTCTAAAACTGTACCTCCTGTGGACTGGGAGGCAACTTCAGTAAAGCAGTCTTTCATAGCCAGATGCAAACTTTAATTTTTTTTAAATCCTTAATTACACACGAAATCCACAGGAGTAAGGTCCTCCTCCAAAACATTTGGACACTGAGTTTCCTTGTTGCTGAAGACATCTGTGATGCTTAAGCTTTATTTCTTACTAGCTGTTGTAAAACATGTATGTCCATGAACATCCCCGTGTAGACAAAAGTATACATCTGAAGTGCAGCACATAACTAAGTGGATTTCCTCCTGTGTCTAATCTGGCTTTGCAATGAAGCTAAACCTCAGAGAAAACAAATAAAACCCCAGCCTCAGACCCAACGCAGAGGGAAACCAACCATAGGTTGCCAAATTGCCTTCTAAGAATTACACTTCAACATGTATGCACTACTTTTGGTAGTGCTGGGGTCAAACTGAGGGCCAGGTGCATTCCAGGCAGAGCCTCTACACTGAGCGGGGTCATCAACTCTTCCTAAGAACCTTTAAATATTGTTTGGGACTCTCCGTGGAGATTTCTTTATGATCCCTTGAAAAACCCCGAGGACATCACACTAGGTTATTAGTGCCATGCTATTTGTACACATTTGAACTTCTCATCGATATCTCTAATCTTGCCTCTGCTGATTTGTGAAGGTGACCAGGTGACAGGCAGTTGGGATGGCACTGAAGAATCAGGCCAGAGACTGAACATGGTGAACAGATTCTCACATTATGTGGGACTTATGTTCTGGGAGAAGCTCTAGGGATAGGAACTGACTTCCTGACATTTTCCAACCCTTAACAACCGAAGCAAGAAGCAAGGGAGAATGAGAACCCCTCTCCTACCTTGCTCACTGCTGTTATCCCCACTGTGTGAAGTGTGGCCACCGCTGGAAGGGCCCGGGGTTCCTCCTGAACGAGTGGATGCCGTGTCATCATGATCTCTATTCCAAGAGGGCTGTGGGGGCACAAATCAGAAATCTGAGTAAAAGCCATCTGTTAACAGGGTGTGATCCCATCAGACAATGACAAACTGGGGAGGGGCTACAGGGGACAACATTGCCATCGTTCCCACTCGTCTACAAAACTGGTCCTAGCTCAGGGCTGCGTAGGTATACTCAAAATCTGCCGCTCTCCGCATCCAGGTTGTAATAGTTAGTCTGTAAGTAATTGCATGTTTTATTAACAAGGAAACAAAGACATTTTAGACACGGGGGCACTTTGCTGCTGCTTGAGGCTTGAGTCTAACTATAACTTTTAACCCTCTGGTGGAGTACTCTGCCACTCTAGAAATGCAAAATGGGAGGAATGATCTCTAACATTGTGTTCCCAGAGGCCTCTGCTTCATTCTAGGAGACAAACCTGGTGGGACTTTAAAGATCTCACAATGCCACCTAGGACTGTAGCAGCCAGTGTGTGTCAGCTGTTTGCCTGGAGGAACACAGCAAGTGGACCAGGCACAGAGGCACAAAGAGATACTAGCAATAGATTTACATGGACTGTGTACATTCCACCCCATGCCGAGCCTTCTTGTACTATTGAACAGAAAACAGATGTTGCTTCTTATCACTGGTGCATTTGAAAGTAACATTCAGATTGACTGCAAATTCAATTCTTAGGGAAAACAATCATGGAGATACTTCTCCCAAATCTCTCTTCATCACCAGACAAGACTTGAATGAGCTTCTAGTGCTTGCTTTCAAAACCAGCCTCATGAGTCACTGGTCATCTCCTGCAGTTAGGCCTGATGCAGAATACAAGGCTGGGTCTTGGCTGGGAAGTAATGTTTGTCTTCAAGATTATTAGTGGGGAGGCAAGATGATCTTACATGTAAAATATGTATACATCATTTCAGTCATAGGCGGTCATGGTTCGTGACTCTGTTGTAGTGAAGTTTATTGGCCCTCCCACAAGTGGAATATGCCTAGCAGAGTCACTGTTCTTTGTTTATTTCTTGAAAAGCATTTACCCATCCCAGAGACAATAAAAAGCGCTGACAAGAGCAAACAATTCAGATATCCAGGGCCAAGAAAACGAAGACCCTGTCCACAAGACCTCTTGCACTGGAACCCCAAGGGAGACCCAATGCTCCTCTAATGGACACTTCAACCCACCCTTGGCCTGAAGACTGGTGCCACCCCCAAAATGGAATCAAGCCACGGAACATATCACTTGTGTGTTTAAGTCACCCATTATGCATATTCTCAACACCAGCACTAATTGACGTGTGGATTCCGTGATTGAGAGCTATGGGAACTGTGAGAGGAGTGTGTTCCGCAGACACTTATTTTGAAGCTTACCAGAAGAACACTCTAAGATGTAATCTGCAACACATGCTCAGAATGCAAACAGTTAATGCATAAATTTTCAGTTTGTACAACTGCAGCTCTAAAAGGGGGACTTGTTTATTCAGAGCTCTGCAGAGAGAATGGTACAGCACCCAGGGGACAGACAATGCCAGGCACAAAACCCCGGTGCCTCGACATGTAAAAGGATGTTTTTCTGTGTGCTACAAATCCCACTTGAAAATATAATTAGAAGGAGAAAATGGCAAACTATTGCATTAACTGTAATTGAACAAAAGACCAGCAAGGCATGTGGGAGGCTGCAGGAGCCCGTGGGAGTCTCAGGATGCATGAGATCCTGAGAGTGATGTCTCCTGGGTCCTCTCATTTTCTTTATGTTGTCCCTCACTACTATTGTTGACTGGTGATCTGACTTGTAATTAATAGAAAAGATAGCAATAACAAGCTAAAATACAGGGCGGCAGACTAACCTCATCAGCAACACGTTTGTTAATCTGATTAAGAGCAGGACTCCAGAAAGGTGACGTAGTAGACCCAGAGAATCTTTCCGTGTCAGACAGGAAGCTGTCCTCCTTTCTGCCAGAACAGACCTGATATATTCACTATCTTTTAATGAGCTCTACTGATTTATTCAGCTCTGCTCTGCTCCCTCCCCCACTTTTCTACTGTGCAGGATGTAGATTAATTCAATGCTTAATTGTTTAGTAAATTCAATTTTCCACATTCTATTCTGCATAGCTTTAGCTAAGGTTCTTAAATCTTCAGCGGTGAGCCCTGAGCTCAGTGTTTGTGATCTGTGCCTACCTTTTTCATCACCATTTTTCTTCATCCACCACTTAATTCACCATGAAAAGATTTTCCTTGCTGGAAATTCTGATTCCGCTATGATCTGTGAGGCATTCCGATTCATTGCATTTTCATTGTGTTGGGTCTTAGATGCAGGGCTCCTCTTTTCTCACAGCTATGGCCACATTATACAGGCATTCATGCAAGAAGTGTTGGATTCCACCTCAGTTTATCCAAAATTTGTGCAACCTATATGTTTAAATTTGTGTGTTCGCCAAAAGTAGGCACCCGTATTTTCCATCTAACAGCATTCTTCTCACAGCCATACTCTTGCAGAAGGCCTGTGAATACTGAATACAGCTCCCTGAAATGAAATCTAACTTTTGTGGTCCTTTCTTGAATTAGCATTGTATATTAGCATTTCAAGAATGGCGTAGTCACATGAAACTGAGCATCGGAAGAAATCTACAGGGTTACCAAAACAGAACAAGAACTGTGCTTCCATCAGTTCATTAAGCAAGATTAAAGTGCAAGTATCAGAAACAGCTCATGAACTCCTTCAGCATAAACATGTAAGACAGCCCTAATCAGAAAGAATTGCCCCCAAAGTCATCTACCAGGGAGTTTCAGTTAGAATCACACATGTCTCTTACTATATGTGGCCTCACCAAACAGCATCATTATTTGAAAATTAAAATATGTGCATATGATTAAGTGCAGAAATCTGTGAAGTTGTGAGTTGCTTGGGGCCACTTGAAAAGTAAGGTTGTCAGAACAGAATCAACAGTGCATTGAGTTGGACTTAAAGCATGGGCCCAGATTAAGTCTCAGCTTCTTGCTGGCTTCAGTGTCTGTAATTTCAGAGTAAGTGGTGGCCATGCTCTCATCTATGAGAAAAACCACTACAACAAAGGCCCTAACCTGAAGTCCTATTACCTACCACCTATGAGATATTTTGGGGATGGGGGTCTCTTTTACAAATTCTTATGTTTAAGTACACACTTGCACAATTTTCCTGGGTGGTAATGTCTATAACTCTCTACCAAATTCTCAAGGGAATATGTGACTCTAAAAGTGTAAGACTCACTAACCTGAGAGGTAGTTACAGCCTAGACAAAAAGCCAGAGAGGAGACGACTTCTGAACCCACTGAGTCTACAACGCTGGGCAGTGCGACGGTACACTCCAAACAGGACGTCCCAAGTGGAATGGAGAAGCTGAAAGCAGTACTCCATCAGAAAGCTCCTTTTGGCTGATGTGTAAATATTATGGGTTACATCTAAAATGACTTCACTCCATTCGTGTGTTTTTTTTTCCTAATTCTGGGGTTTCAGAAGACAGCAATTTAAAACATTTGAAGTAAGTCACAGTTTTTCCCATCTTTTCTTGCTTCGGCAGCTCAAACACTTGCATTATTTGTTTTGGTTTTTTGTTTGTTTGTTTGTTTGCTTCTCTTCTTAAGAATAAAGCAAAATCCTCATTTGGCTTGTTCTCTTTCCAGTGCTTCAGTGCAGGTCCTTTCTGTTGAGAGGGGACCTTGCTGTCATCTGGTAGCAGGCAGCCATGACCTCTCCTGACCTCTCAGGACAAGGACAGGAGCTCATTCTGCTCAAACTGCTCTTCTAAGAGCTCGGAAAAACCCATGCCTGAAGTTTGGCTGAAACAAATGCTAAGGGAGCTAGCTAGAATTGTTTCTTATTTTCCCAGCCCTATGTCAGCAACCTCACTTTTAAAATATACTCTGACTCGTACACCCTAGAATTTGAGGTGCTCTGGTGGGACTGGGCCTCTCCTTACCATTTACATTTCTCTTGAGCAAATTTCCTTCACTAGTGTAGTGTAAATTAGCACATACATGAACTAACCTTGTATCTAATGCTGCAACCCTTTGATACAGTTCCTCCTGTTGTAGTGATCCCCAAACCATAAAATTATTTCCATTGCTACTTCATAACTGCAGTTTTATTACTGTTACAAATAGTAATGTAAATGCTTTTGGAGTAGTGGTTTGTTGAAGGGGTCAAGACCCACAGGTTGAGAACCACTGACCTATTGGGTTTCTTCTTCATTCTTCTTGGTTTATATAACCAAATATGTGATAAACAACCTCTATGCAAAGACGTCTACTTCAATCGATATGTCCCAGGCTAGACTCTTCCCCCAAAGCCTCCTAGTCATTGCTTTGCTTGTTTGTTTAAAGACAGGATTTCAGTGGATGGCCTAGAGCTTATTGTATAGCCCAGGGTGGTCACAAACTTAGGGCAATTCTCTTGCCTCCACTTCCTGAGTGCTAGTATTGCAGGTGTGCAACAGCTTGGTTAACTTGCTCTGTTTTATTCTCCATGCTAATTCTTATCATACCGCCCTGCCGAGGTAAAAGCCAATAGCTGTCAAGTGTGGAGACGCACGCCTTTAATCCCAGCACTCAGGAGGCAGAGACAGGCGGATCTCCGTGAGTTCGAGGCCAATCGGGTCTACAAAATGAGTTCCAGGTCAGTTAGAGTTGCTACACAGAGAAACCCTGCCTCAAAAAACAAAAACAACAACAAAGCTACAGCAAAACAATAAACCCCCAAAACCAAAACAAAAAGCCAATAACCGTCTGTGCCTCCTCCCCCATTATGAGAGTGAGTCAACGTGCTTTATCCACTTTTACCACGAAATAACTGTCACATAAATCTCCCCAGCTTCCAAAGAGCTGAGTTTCACTAAAGCTCGGGCTCCATGGAGGCAGGGATGGCCTTGCTGTTCTCATGTGAGTGGGATCCTGAGTATCAAGCGTAGCCCTGCCCGTGCCTGAGCTCAGGGAATGGTGTGAATGACCTGTTCTCTACTGTCCACAGAGTACCATCTAAATTCATTAGCCT